GGAGCGCATGTTTTATAACCCACTCACTGCATCTGGCCTTGCCCTAGATTTCACAGGTCTACCTTAATCGTCCTTCTGGTGATGGCTTTGATCTTCCACATAACAGCTACAAGCCAGAGTGCTCCCTCTTCCAACACATTTCTGTGACTGATACAAACACATGACAAGGAGCACATTAAAATGAATGAGCTCTGCCAAAACAGAACTTTCTCCTGCACTGTGGTTTGTTCTGGGACAGGATGGAGGGACAGACCACGGGGGAGGAATTGCTCACTAGTGTACAGCGAGAAGGGCTCAGATGCCACAGTGATGGCAGTAGCATCATAGTTCTGTGCCCTTGTGTCCTTCTGTACTCAAACTCTGCTGCAGGCTGTGCTGGTGCTGTTAAGCTAACATGAAGGCTCTGGTGATGTCTTAACAGCTTACCAACATGGTAGGATCGTCATAGGCCAAATGTGCCAGTGAATGTCTGGAAAAATATCTTCAGTTGTCCTGGTACAGTCTACTTGGGAACTGTTAGGGCAGTCTGGTGGTTGGGGAAGGAATCAAGAGTTTGTCAGAAAGTTTGCTGAGAGCAGCTTTTTTTTTTATCTGGAGGGTGAGTATGGAGCAGGCGGGAGGGGAACCATTAATGAGGTGGTTGCTGGTTTTGTCCCTCAGTGACGGGTATCTAGGGCTTTTTTTTGGAGGTCAGAAGACTGTATTCTGCTTACATTGCAAGTTTCTCAGAAGGCGAAATGATTCACACTGTCTGGGAACCTGTGTGGAGAACAGTCAGATCTTTAGTGTCACTGATAAGCAGCAGCCTTGGGCAAAGGGGAGTTGAGCAGCTTGTTCTTGTTGATCTCCTATACAAACTTGGTGGATGGAGGTCTGCAGGTGTGCTGTGAGAGGCTGCTGAATGTGTTGGGGGGACGACCCTGTTTTGGTGGCAGAACAGAATCTTGAAGGCCACAGTACCTGAAGTGAAACCTCTTGTTTCATTATGTGTAAAATGAATATTACAGGTAACACCGCTGAATATGATAATGAGCTTAATGAAGTACATGCTAAACATATATGACATATAGTACTCAACTCTCCATCCAAATCATGCTAAATGTCCACCCCCAAGGAGGGAAAGGTAAGACTGAGATATAGAAGAGCATTAGGATATAAGAGTAATAAAAAAAAAGTTAGTGCTACTTAAAGAGTTACTGTTTAAAAAAAAAAAAGAAAAAAGAGCTGGGAGGAGAAAGAAGAAATAGGAAACCTAGAAGAGGCAGTTGACGGGCTGTGCTCCTTCTCCTCCACCAAGACAGGAAGTAGAACATTAGCAGTAGAAAAGAACCATGTGCTCATAAGAAAGTCAAATGTGATTTTAGAAGGCATAGAAAGGGAGTCAACAGCCCCAAGAAGAAGACATTTTCAGAGCGGTGTTTAGAGTGATGGAATGAGACAAAAGAACTTAGGCTGAGTCCATAGGAAACCTGTGTAGCTGTGAGATTCATTACACCAACAGACGTTTTCCCAGGACACAAGGTAGAAGAATCCCTTGCTTGAGTAATTAAAAACTGGTGGGTGGATAAGCCCTGGGAAATAAGTGATTCTTCTTAGACTGGGGGATGGACTTGGACTTTCCAGTCTCTGAGTTCAAGCATTGTGTGTTTGAGGGAACAGAGTAACAGGGCTCCCTTTCTCTGTGCCAAAAGGTCTCGTCTGTCTTCTGTGATTTTCACACCCACAACATGCCAGGCTCTTGCACATGAAGGTGCCGTGGTGGCTGGTCTTAATTATTTTCCTAAGTATTAAAAAAAATGTTTACGGCACTTATAAGTCGTCTTCATGGGGGTGACATGGAGTATTCAAAATAAATTGAGTAGTTGTTCTGAGCACCTGAGATATTAAAAATAGTAAGAGTTTCATGCATAATGAGAAGTCCTACCTCGCCTGACTGAGGGGGGATGGTTTTGCATTTTGAGCAGCTTCCCTTGAGTGAGTCATGTCATGTGTTTTACAGGGGAGAAAGGTGGAACTTCATTATATTTACAAATCTGTTGAATCTGGAATAAGTAACAACAGTCTGGTTGCAGTTAGTGCTTCAGATAGTGCCGTGTGGTTGTAATCAGGCAGAACATGGTGGCTTCTGATTATCTTGGAGTGGGGAACAGAGGGAAGGGGTTTCATCAATTAGCCTGTGAGTGATGATTTCAGATCAAGATAAATCTGATGAGATAACATAAGCAGCAAGTAGTGTGGATATAACATTCGATGTAGATATTCAGGAAACATCAAGACAAAACCAAACCTAAAAAGCTTCAGAAGACAAAAATAAGTTAGGGAAGATGGTAAGAAGATCAGAATATCTCTTGATGTACATATAAGGGAATTTTCACAGTGGAAAGAACACATTATTTCTGACTTCCTTTTCATCCTGAATGCTAGAATCACAAACTTGGCTTGTAGAGTGAATCCTGTTTTTCATCAGATTTCTTACCCAGGATTGTGGCTCAGACAACTTGTGAGGCAAGAAAGAACAGCGGTATTGCCAGCAAGCTAGACTTCTAATATTTAGCACCCAAAAAGAAAATTTGTAGTCCCTTTGCAAGTGACACTCCTATGCTTTGCTCTTTCCAAGACAGAGCATGAGGAGTGCAGGGGATGTGCCCTGGACTGTAGGAGTGATGCTCCAGTCTGTCAGTGCTGGTTGCCATTCCCATTTCATTGGCATGAAGGACTCTGAAAAAGCCTGTTGAAAATACAGAAATCTGACAAGCTTTTTTTGAAACAAGGTACTGATGTACACACTTCCTCTGTTGCATTTTTTTCCTCAGTGTTAACCTACCTAGAACTGTCATGTGTGACTGTAGCTTTTCCTGTCAAGAGGCAGTGTATCATGCTCATGTTTAGGTGCATTTAGTTTGAGCTGTCCACATCTGGGCAGCAGAGTGCAAGTGGAGTCACTTTAGCAGTGTGGCTGCAGAATGTGGAGAGATGCTCCAAACTCAAGCAGTCTGGCTTTTGCTGCAGAGCAAGCCTGGAGCCGGAACTGCTCAGACTTGGTAGTTATATTTCAGTGGAGATGGATTATTTATGAATTCCCAGTTGTCACCATATTTAAAAACATGTGAAATCTGTTGGTGTGCAGAAAATAAGTCTGGGAGAGGTCAGCCAAGATAGCAAAGTGTGTGAAAATCATGGCAGGCATCCACTCAGTGCTGTAAATCAAGTGCTTTCCCTGGTTTTCAGGCAGATACTTGGTTCTGCTGGATTTGTCATATGATGGCCTCTTAATCAGATAGGAATTCAAGGCCATCCTATTTAGCTCATTCTTATCAGAACCACATGTGCTGTTTTATTATTACTTATTAGGGAAACAAATACTTCTTAACAAATTGCTGAGGCAACATGTATCGTTCTGTGTAGTGTGGAGGGATCTTGGATCCTTGTAAATGAGCAGAGGTTAAGAGTTCGCTCCATTGAACAAACAGGCAAATTTGTCCAGAGCTATTAAATTGAGATCACAGTTTATTACATTACTTTATGTAATAAACCCATCATGCAGTGAACTTTTCTCTATGTGGTCATGTACTCACTGGAGGGTAACAATCATTCGGCCAAATTTCGTTTCAGATAAAAACAGCCCCGGAGTTCAGAGGTGCTCAGATGAAGGGGGTTGATTTGGCTCATCATGCTAGCGGAGAAACAGTTGTATAGCTGTCTGTAGCCTTGGTGCAGGAATCTGGCTCCCAGCTAAATGTAATATTTTGCATGTGCTTATTTTTAACACACTCTGAGGGGCTCTGATGCAACTTTGAAAGTATTTCAGTAAATATTAGTTTTTAATATGGAACATCTGCATGCAAGCATTACAAAGAATGTGACAAGCGTTATCTAGCCTGCTTCTCTATCACCCCATATTAAAACGTTGTCCAAGCTGAACCTTACGGTTCTACTTCAGTCTGTGTATGTACCACAAAAAGAAAAAAAAGATCTGGACTCATTGTGTCTGATTTTAGGCAGTAAACAGACATTAGGGTTTCATGAGCTCTTTAATCAGGGAAGAAGCCAGCAGAGCTACTGGAAGAAACAGCCCAAACTCTGTCTGGCCATTCACTCCTGCACAGCTCCCTTCCTTCTGGTGCTGCAAGGGTTTGTGTGGCTGTGTGAAGAATGGCCTTGTTTTAACCCAGTTCTCCCATCGGTTTCCCACGTGGAGGCACAGCCTCTTGTGTCAGCACAACAGAAGGGGCAGCACGGGAGTGGGAATGGGGCTACCCTGCATGGAGCTGTAAATATTGCCAGCCTAAGGAGCTGGAGTCAGGGTACTCAAGGAGTGGAAATTTCTCTTGAGCTTTCTCTGTAGTCAACACGAAAATATTTTGGGTGGCTGAATTCCCCTATGGAAGGTGCCTCTTTCTCATGGTTGTTATTTTCTGTGTTATTTTTTCGTTAGTATTGTTTCTCAGAAGTTGATAAACCAGCAAGTACCTTATGAAGTACTACTGAAGCTGAATCCTGTTTCACATCTGACAGCCAATATATTTAAGACAAATATCCTTAAAACCAGCACCTTTCAACAGTAGTGAACTTCATTGCAAATTAAATCCAAACATAAACCAAACTTAAACCATTAATACATTTAGTAAGAATATTATCTTCCAAAAAGTGTTAGCAGCCTGAACTAAAACTGCCAAGAAATGTAGAATAGTTGTACATCTCAGTGTGAAAGATGTATATTAACACATCAGGCATTTATTAATGCTTCTTTATGTTACATTAAGTTTCGTGAGACAGAATTGATTAATAAACTGTCACATTAATGTTTCCACTTGGCCTATTGCTGGTAACACCGCCTGTCAACAGCAGTGTTAACATTATAATGACATTGAACAGGTAGGCAAAAATACTGTGTGTGAGTTAGACTTTTTATAACCTGTTGCTTATGTAGGAAGGACTGGAGGTAAGTGTGTTTTAGCAAGGCATAACTTGTAAACCTTTCTCTCTCTCTCTAACCCCAGTAACGTAAAATTAAAGGTCTTAAAAGGATGGAATTTTGAAGATCCAAAGGGAAAATTTATATCAGCACAACAGATGGTAGGAATAATGCCTACAACAAGTTGTGTCTTAGATGAAGACTACTTTGAAGTGAAGAAATAAATAAAAGGAACTGGAAGTTTTGATGTGTGATAAGCAGTATGGCTTACCTGCGTATCAAGAGACTTCTTGGGAGAACTGTGTGTGCATTGGAATGCTGGCATAAAACAGAACATCACTTGCTCAGAGAAGTCATGTGAAAAAAGAGGAAGGTTTTTCCCTTTGTATCAACAATGCGTTGACATCCAAAAGGTAGGAGTTATACTTAGAGGTATGGAAAAAGGGGAAGAACATGACCAACTTTGTGAAGATAAATTATTAATGAACAATGAAGAGAGTCTTTTGGAGCACAGGGTATTGTAATAAGGGAATTTGAAGGAATCTGAGCTATCCAGAAGTCTGAGAAATGGATGAAAGGAGAGTATGATCCATTCATGTAAAGATGAAATGATGACACCCTTAAAGTTACATGGCCCATCTGACATGGAGGAAAAACGAAGAGTCGTGACATTTACTGAAGTGTTGATGCACAGATATGGAAAGCTTCAATGCTCTCAGGATGCTTTCATGGGATGTATCTTGAAATTATGGCCTTACAATTAAGAAAGTAAAAAGCTCACTTCCCTTGCTGGATAAGATCAGAAGATAAAGGCAGATATGTAGAAAACCTATTATTCACTGCTTGGATTTTGAGTAGGGTCAGCTGAGAGAACTGAGTAACACTGTCCGCTAGAACTTTGAGAGATGTCAATGTGGCCATTTAGTATAAATTTATTTTCACATGCAGTTCACCTGGCTATGTAGTTTTTGTTTCCCCAGTATGGTTACACAAGCAGTTCTTTTCTGCTGAGCACAAGGTTATTTCTGGTACATTTTATAATCTGAAATCTCTATGTTGAAAAAATCTTAAATATTTATTCTTCAAAATGGCTGGGTGTATCCTGTGAGTAGCTGCTGATTCAGAGTTCCATACTTAAAATCTCTGAATTCAGAAATGCTGAGTAAGAAACCAAGTTAGTAATTAATCCTTATGGAATATGCAAAAATTATTTTTAAAAAAAGTTTAATTAAACTGGATTATTAAAATACTATGAGTATATGTGGCTGAGGGCCATATCTGTGAGAGGTTACAGCTATCACTGACTCCAGTGGAAGCTGGGGAATTGTACAGCTTTGGAGGAACAGCTTCCTAAGTCAGTTGGTGTTGCAATGTGTTGAGAAGGGGTGTGACAAAACCTCTTTGATTCCAGCTGCTGATTAGCATATGCCCTTTTGGATAACTGCAAATGCTGCTCTTTCTCTCAACTGTGTATTTTTTATTTTTTAACTCTCAGTTCCCGTAAGAATATTTTTGTAGGTGTGCATTTAGGTGTGTCACAAGCTGATGATTCCCTTTAAAATTTCATTGTTTTAAAACAGGAGGAGTGGGGAAAAAGCTCATAAATCTAACAAGAAAGCAATTTACGGCTATATCCATTATGGGGAATAACCTGCTACAGTGAAATAGCACACCCGGTAATCAATGAGTCATATGTGCTGATAGAAACCATTTTAAAACAGAGAAGAAATAGAACAGTCCACATAGGAAAAAAAAAAAGAACACAGACCAACCCATAACCCCCCGCAATAACATCTATATCAGTTATAGGTGCAATTCAAACTTAATTTTTCCTTTTTTTTTTTTTATTCATTTCATTTAGTGCTTTTCACTTTCTCTACTGATGTGCTTATGTGTGGGCTTTGGTGCCATTGGGCTTTGGAAGTGTTTAGAGCAAGACTGCAGTGTAGAGGTTACCCTAGCATCCTTCTGAGGAGATTTCCTCCTGCAGAGAACTTGCCTTCTGCAGAGAGTGGCCCACAGCTTTGTGGTGGTGTCTCTGCGACCATCTTCTCTCTGCTGCTGGCTGGGGTCATTGCTGGGGAAAAGGTGGCTGGGTTCAGATTCTTAATCTACTGCTCTTTATTGTGTGGTCGGTGTTGGTGAGTTTTCAGAGTGATCTCTGGACTGTTACGCATAATGTCTTGTACCAGTACATGGTCTGGAATGGCCTGGTGAGTCATAGAGGAAACAAAAACATTTTAAACCCTGTTTGCTTCTGGGTTGGTGCTCTTTGGTCTGCAGGGCTGCTGTTTCTTTGGCATGTCTTCCCCCAAGATCTCGGTTCTTCAGTTACAGGACAGTGTGAGGGAATTTATTCCCTTGCTACCCTCTGTGCTTGTTGGGAAGATGCATGGTTGTCTGCTCTTTCCTTCTCTCTCTTAATTTCTATAAATGGACTAAAAGGAATATGCTGCATAAACTGTAGGCACTCTGCTTTCACAGATCTACCTCCATGCTGATCTTCTACCCAGGCTGCAGTTTTAGTCACCCTGTCACAGATACAAGTCTAGATGCAAGCCTAGCTCAATTAGAACCTTATTTACATGGAGCTTTTCATCTTCCCCTGCAAGCTCTTCAACTTGTGTACTGCTTTGGGTTTGATCCCTGTGCAGGGCACTGATCCCTGTCTGTTAGATTTGTAAGCACAGATGGTTTCTTCTTGTCTTGGGTATTACAAAACAGGACAAGTCTGTGTCTGAGCCTTGATTCAGCCTGTTTAAAATTTCCAGTGAAGTCACACCCCACCACGTAACTCCTTGTTTCTCAGTTACAGCATTCTTTGGCCCCTTTTACCTGTTTTTTTTTTTTTTATTGAAATTTTCCCATCAAGCAGACTTTCCCAGTCTGTCCCTTTGTCTCTGTCACTTCTCTATTTGTGTTTCTCCCTGCACTGCCCATTAGGTTAAACATGAAATCACTCAGCTTTACTTTGAAGGCCCATCCTAGCCTCTTAGTACTCTCCTTTCCTCTCTCATTTTTTACTGTGATGTCAGCACCGCTGTTCAGTTAGGCTGACCCTCGCTGCTCATGCCCACCTTGGGCATGGGCAAAAAGTTCATTACACAGCAAATTCTGCAGTGGGATTCTACAGAGGCAAATACCTGTACACTTTTGCTTGGCTCTTCTGCAGTAAAAATCCAATACACACCACTAAAACTGCCCAGGTAAGGATTGAACAGTAACTTAAATTTCTTTCATTTATTATTTTTTCTATATCTGTTTGTTTGCACTCTGAAGAGTGCTAAGCACCCTCAGCTCTCATAGCTTTAGCGTTTTACAAGGTCCTCCCCTCACTATCTGACCTCCCTATCGTTCAGAAGGAGGTTAGTGCTCCAGGCACCGGGAGAAAATAGAAAACTTCAAAGTCTTTGTATTATAATAGGACAGCATATCATACAGTTTATTTTAGCAGGGCTAAGGATCTGTGGAGTTCTTATAATTATTAATGTCATTTCTCCTGTTAAATATTCAGATTGCTGAAATGCTGAGTATTAGTGCTGGGCACTGATGATAAATATTTGTCTTGGTTCCTTGGGACCTGGGAAATCATTTGGAAACTATTTGATAAGGGGTTATAGTGATGCTACAATCTCCTAATCCAAAAAGTCACTGCCAGGCACTGCATTTGCATATGCAAGATGAGATTTTTTTTTTCCAGAGAGATGACTGGTAATGCTGTTTTCTCTTTTGCTCCTGTCATTGGTCCAGAGTGTTTTATTTCACAGTAGCAAAGAGGGTTTCTTCCTGCTTTCCCCTTTTGCCATTTTTCACCAGCAAAAGCAAATGTTTGTTCTCCAGGCAAATGGACTCCATGGACCCTTTAGCTTCAGTGACTCACAAATGCCTTTATGACTTTCTGCTAGATACAAGCAACGTTGGATGACAAGCAGAGATTTCGAGGGAATGGGTTTCTAGCTCCTTGTGCCCTGGATCTGATCTAGAGCCTATTTACTATGCCTGTAGGAAGAGGCTTCTTGTCTTTGATAATCTTTGTCTTGTACTCCTCATTGTGCTACTGTTCTCAGGGCCTGAGTCCAGAACTCTCATAGAATTAGCTGTGATGCCTCAAAAACCTGTAAAACAGTGGGGAACTTCAGCTTTGACAGTTAGCCTGACTTCATTCTTCCATCATCTCTGCTCTAAACATAATGCTTATTGTGTTACAACAGGCACCCCAAAGCTTGTTTCCTACCTCTCCAGGGTTCAGATCCGTCCAGTCAGAGCTGAAGGTAAATTCTGTGGCACCCTAAAAGCAAGTAAGGAAAAAAGCATTTATGCTTGCTTCCATTTCTGTTTTTCTTCATTAACACGTGGGTTATGAAAGCCTCCTTATTATCAGGTGGGGGGTTGTTTCTATGGATGCAGAGGGAGAAGTCACTCTACAAGATATGGCAGGAGCAGCCACAGACAGATGTGATGTGAGATGAAGGACTGTAGGATTGCTTCTGTTTATCTAGAAGTGTCTGTGCACATTTGGTGCAGGAGAGGCTGTCAAGAGGTAGGTGCATGTTGCAGCATGGGATCTGGGGAGGATCTTTCTAGAAGGTGTAAAACTGGAGATGTTTTGGGAGCAGTAGCCAGTGGATGTGTTGTCACATCAGCTCTATAAGTGATGACTGATGAAGAGCCTGTACAAGCTGAAAAGAGACACCACAACAGGAACACAGGGTTGATAATTAAAGAAATTGAATTCACATGCTGTTTAGATATTACTGAAAATTGATGTGGATTTTGTTTTCTTCGGAGGCCAGGCCTCATAACTGAGATGTCTGTAAGCAGTGCATCAATCCATGGCATTTATTTAGAGAACTGCAGTCTGGCTCTCACTGTAGCCCACAGCCTTTCCCTTTTCCTTCCCATTCCCCTTCCCATTTTTTTATGATTTGAATAACTGTAACCTGTGATTCATTTCATGTGGAAATTTCTCACCTACAAATTTGGGGAAATTTCTCCCAATGCCAGGCAAGATGTCTGTGAATGCTGACAAAAACAATGATGTAACTGGGGACAGGGCTGTCAGATGAGGACATTCGTGTCTCCAACAGTTGTGGTGAATAAGTCAAGCCTGTGCAAACCCAGTGGTTAATCAGCTGGGGGGAATTTGCACATCTTGTTTGCCTGAGTCAGCTAGCTACCTAAAGGATTTGCTAATAGTTAAGTTTGCCTGAATCATAGGGCTGCCGGGTGCAGTAAGCATCTGTTCACATCCTGGCTGCTGTAATTAAAGAGACAGGGATGTGCTATCTTTTTTTTTTTAAAAAAAAAAAAAGGAGAAAGCAGTGCACAACTGCAGATAGTCTTTTTTCCTTTTCCTGATGTTTCTTGTTTGTCCTACTGCAAGACCATTAGCTGTGACTGTCTGTGCTGTATATAGCTATGTTTGGGGGATTTTTAGCTCTGGAGACATTTCATCAGTTCTTCATGAAGAAAGGACAAGTAACAGGATGGATAATTCTGTCAGCAAGGTAGGAAGAGGGCCTGAATAAGTGAATTGTGGAGGACAAAGACCATCCACCAGGAGGGAGTGTTCAGGACTGAGGATTGTTATCTTGGGGTTCAGATGAGTAAAGTTCAAATTACAGCAGTTCTTAGATTACAGCAGTCTTAGGCAGACTTTAGATGTCTGTGGGCTGATCAACCATCTCTCCTTGCCTGACTTCCTTACCTGCAAACTAGGGATAATGCAATATCCCCTCTCTCCATGAGATGAGCTGTATTCAGAGAGATTTCTGAACTGTTTGGATATTGCAGTGCTCAGGCTGTAGCTTGACAGATGGAAGCTGCAGGGCAAAGTGGCCTCTTCTGAGTGCATATAATGTACGGTTATTTGTAAGCTAATGAAAGTTTCTGCTACTGATAAACTCAACAGATTGAGTCTTTTAATCTATTGGGTAAAAAAGCAGTGAAACCAGCTATTCTGTCTATTTTCACATTTGAGAACTTTAAGTTATACTTATCAAATGAACTGAATACCATTGGATAGCTCTGAATTCCCATGTAAATACCTTTCCTGACGTGTAAATGGCAGGTTAAGTCTTCCAAAGCATGATTCCTCTGTTTATGTCTCCTTTCTAAAAGGCAACATGTCGTGAAGTCTGATTCCCAGTGTTGGCAAGATGTTAAGTTATTAAGAATAATTGTGTTCTTACAGTTCTGGTAGCCTGAGGATATGAGGCAGAAAGTTTTATTAGGTCCGCTGATCTAGCTAGAACAAAATAGGTCCTGCAGAAGGCCTACAGCTTTTCTAATTTTTCTGACTGTCATTTGGTTTTACATAAGCCATTAAATCTTCCTATCGTGAGCCATTAAGAATACCTTGTCAGCTTGGGAATAAAATGTTTAACCAGTCTCAAAACTTTTTTAAAATTCAGTTGGGAATACTCTTGTGATATCTTTAATTGCTTCTTTCCTGTTGAGACATGAACAAATCAAAATAAATCAGGGCTCTCGTTTTTGTGCTGCCTTGCCAATACTTTACTGCTGCTGTTGGTGTGAGCAGGCTAGACAAAAACAGCACGTTCAGTGTGACAGCCCTCGCTGGGGGCTTGATCTGCTTGTTTGCAGTGCAGAAATCCATCCGCAGACTCTTAGTGCATTTTGAATTAAGGCAATTTGCTTTCTTCTGAACTGATTCCAGAGCGTGTGTGGGGAGTTCACTAAAACTAGAGGATGACATGTTACCTAATCTAGCTACCCTGCTGGTCTCTTGGGGGAAACGGCTCATAAGTGGAAGTGATCTGCAGGTTTCAGTTTGTCTCAAAGCGGCTAACATATTTGTTTCTTAGGTGAAAAAATAGCTTAAACTGTGAATGCAAACAACCAGCAGATAATTGTGTGTGTATGTGTGAATGTCTGAAATCGAACTTTCAAGCTCTTAAGCAGAAAGCTGCTAATTGCTAGCTGCTATCAATAACGCTCTGGTTGTAAATTTTGATAACATCTTGGACTGAAAATAACGGCACACTACAGATCCCCCAATTAATGTCCCAAATCCTCCAATTAATAAACAAGCCTGAGACAGAACCAGCAATAAAGGAGGCTGATCACATGTTGTGCTTCTGCACTAACCTATTTAGATTAGGAAAAACAGAGGCTTGGGGGACTGGAAAGAAAAAGACAATTAGAAGGGTTCCCAAAAAGAAGTGGCCTTGGAAAGAAGTGGAAAGGAGAAGGTGAATATCCTGTCTGGAGAAAAGATTCTGTAAGTGGGGGTAGATCCTGGAGATCAGAAAGCTGCATGGGGACAAATGCTTGGGGATGTGCAGGGACCTTGGCCAGCCATGCCTGAAGCTGAGTCTCTGAAGTGGGGCAACACCTGGCTGAGGATCGTGACCCAAAATGTAGCATGCAAACAGAAACAATAGTCTAGCTGGAGTTTACTGGAGGTAGTTCATCGATGATTAGTTTACTTCTGATATTGTTCAGCATTTTCATGAACTACCTTGTCATAAAGATTGGGCTGTATTAATGAAATTTCCTGATGATGCTCAAAAGAGAGCAAAAGGGAGACAAAAGAGCACTCCAGCCTATCTTAGTGGTGTAATTAAAAGCTCTCCTGTCCTCTCTGAATATCTTTTTGTATCTCTGCCTTTTTTATATTACAATGGTAAAAACACATTCCTTGAGCACCTTCCCCTTTTCTTTTATTAGATACACTGCTTTGGCTTAACAACTTGAAAAATGTATCTTTTTAAGGTGTCTGTCAACTTGGTGTTCATTAATTTCTCCTGCCAAAACCCAAATGAATAATGTAAGCTGACGCAAAATCTCCAAATGAGGGTTATAGATAATTATTCATGTTCAAGACTTAGCCTATGAATCATTTCTGCTGTTCAGTCTGTTTATGTAACACTGCCAGTTTCATATTTCTTTGTTTATGATGTAAATAACTTTCAGTGATACGAAATGTGAGAGGGAACACATTTGTGTTGAACACAGGTAACTCTAGGACTAAAAGAAATGAAAACCTTTAAAAAGAGTTATAGGGCATCTAAGTGGCAATTAGAATGCCTTAAAAGTTCATTCATTTTTAGTGAAATGTTGCTGGCAGTCATTCATAAAAGTAATTGCCCTGTGCACATGAAAATTCAAATGTGGTAATTTAGTAATGAATCTGAGCTGTCAGAAGGCATTTTATGGATAATCAGACATTCCTGCAGGCATAGCTGTGACTGAAGAACATTGAAAAATAACTTTATAGAGGCAAGATTATCTGAAATAAGTGTTTTCTCTGGAAGCAAACAAAGAGCCCTATGATTTCTAGAGAAGTAGTACACTGTAAACCAACAAGGGCAACCACTGGAAGCAAACAAAAATCTAATTGTGTCCATGTTATTGTTTGAGATCAGTCATTTTAAGTAGTGGTCTTTGAGGACTGAGTACTTCTAGGTTCTCAGATACCCCGTGTGCAGATGCCTTACCCTGCCACCAGGACTGGGAAGCAAGAATTCCCCATTGCAGCTCACAAATCACGTTATCAATTTAGAAAGGAGAAGCTCAGTTTTCCTTTCATTTTATGTTCTTGAAACTGCTTACTGTATTGGGATGATTTTGTTTCCCCTGGAATAATGGAGATTATAGCTAGCTGCATGTTTTCAGGGCAGAGTGGAGACAGGCAAACTTGAGACGTTGTGGAAGTTCATTTGAAAGTCACTGATGCATTAGGAAAGTTAGGACAAACCATTGCATTTGGATGTGGCAGCAGTTTACTGGCACTCTGTGGGATTTTAACTGACTTGAAAATGGACAATAGCACTTCCAGATCTCTCTTACCCTCAGTCTCTAAATCAATTTGGGGAGAAGATCTTATGATACTTGTCTCAGTTGTGATATTGCTGTTGCTTTGGATTGTATCTAGGTATTTCTTGGGGATTTTCAGACTGTGAAGCTGTCTGGGGAGAAAGCTTTTCCAAAGATTAGATACAGTTGGGGCTGCTGCTCAGTTCAAATATCCTTTTGTCAGAACTGATCTACCAGCTGATCTATTAATAAAGATTTTTTTAAATTTCTCCAGAATTAGAATAGTGTAAAGAAACACTCTTGTATGCTAATTCAGAGTAATTTTTTTTAAATGCTGATCTTAGATTCTATTTCAAGTGTTAAAATAATTACCGTTGTATGTCAACATTACTTTTGGTTGCTTATGCAGTTGGTATTTGTTTTCCTGACTTTTGTTGTTTGAGTTTATGAATTGAGCTGAGCCCTCTTAGTATTCAATACTTCTGTTGTGCTTTACTGTCTGGTGCAGTGGAGGGAAGTTCCAAAACAAAAATATATATATATTTCAAACCTAAAAGTAAACTGTATTTCTATCAATTTATATGTTTTTAAAAAATCTACTTGTACCCTCGTTATTTGCTAAAACAAACAAAAACTTCGAGCAACATGACGGGATCTCCTCAGTGCTATGAGAGTGAATGCAAAATCTTTTGGACAGTCTCTTACAAAAAAAAATATTAGATATAATTAGGCAAAATAATCTATGCTAAGAGAAAGGATGATACTGAAGTGTATCAGTTGGCAAAAAGTAGCTAGCTCCACTGTTATGATTTTTAATATTGTTTCCATTTCCCTTAGATCATGTAGTAGATGGATCACCACTTGGAAAAAGCCATGATACTGAGTCTTTGTCCTTATTCTGCACTCTGGAGTGGGGCCTTGCTCTTTTGTTCTGGCTATCTGGTAAGTCTCCCTCCCCAGGCAAGAAAATGGAAGACACCACTGAGAGAAAAGCACCTTGAAGATAATTCTTTCTTCTCAGAATGAGTTACTTTAAATATTACTGCTATAGCGTTTGGCTGTTTTAAGGTTTGCAGAGCCATAAAACATTTGATCATCCCAGGGATGGGGGGCGGGGGAGCTGAAGGACATCTCTTATTTCTGATGAAGCACCAAGGAGAAAGAACAGTGTAATGGAAAGACTATTTATAGAGGCTGCTTGCCAAGTCCAAGCCCGAGCTTTAATTACATTCACGCAGTGTGGCCATGTTTAATAAAGGTCTAAATGCAGCATCATCTTCCTATTTGACTTAGTAGCATTCTGCTTTTTCTTTTGAAAATCTGGCACCTGTTGGTATGATTGATTATGAGTAGGAGTGTGGATCAAGGCTGAAAATCAGTCAATGATATGAGTTCATTTAACATAGCCTTTGTAAAAAAACAAAAAAAACAAAAAACTGTTGTAGCTTTGCCTACTTGTGAAGCATTCGCTGATGGTTACAGGTTGTTTTGTGTCCTACGAGTGCCATGCAGACAGGTGGACTCGGTACCTGGAGGGACTAGGGTGTGGGCAGAAGCTCTTTGGAAGTGTATGTGAACTGAATGGTTCACTTTTGCTGTATTTTGTTGTATTCAGAGTTTGATTTTCACAGAGGCTGTTCGTTTAGACAAAATGATAAATATCAGTGCTGTACAAAATCAGTTGGACACCATAAGCAGCCTTGTCTCTTCAAGAGAGTTGCCAAAGGAAGTCCGGGTGTGCTTGAATTCCTGTTTCTTTTAGATAGTCTTTTGTAGGACCAGGTTGAAGCTCTAGATCAGAGCACTACAAAATGCTTGCACTTCCCTGTCATTCCTTGGATTGACAGAGACAGATATTCCAGTTTTGAGCCCCTAAATGTTGCAAAACAGTGGTACCCTTTGGATTTCCTTGAAGTCTGGCAGCAGACTCTGCTTTCAGTCCATCTCTAGGTGTTTAATAGAGAATTCCTAGCTACAGCTTTAGGCTTTTCATTTTTTCACTCTTTCTTGTTGATGTTATACTGCCTCTCTGAGTTTCTTTTTGACCTCGTGTCTCACCTCCTTCCTCAGTATTCATTTTGATCTGGACTGAGACCAATAGCGCCAATTATTGTTGCATTTTTATACTGAAAATGATTTCTAGCACCCTGGATGGCAGTGCTCACTTCAGTGCTTATGGCACAAATAGCTGGGTACAGGTGTTCCGATAAGAATGATCACAGAAGATCCATATACTGCTGTCCTCTCTTGGAGATTCATGGCAAGACAGGGACCATGGGGAGTGGTAGATCCATGAAATAACTCCACTCTAAAGACTCTGTTAAGTTAGTCTGCAAATACTTTTTTTTTTTTCCTGTGTTGGGTGATAGCAGGCTGCTGTTTTACAGCACAAGGATGCAGTTTCTAGGCCATGGTTGTTTGCTTTTTAGTCACTGTCATCTGAAAAATAGTCAGGGCCTGAGAAAAGGTGCTGGCTTTTCCAAAGCCCACAGAGGACTGTACCATCATTTCTGTGGGCAAATAAATAGTCAATGTAATTTTCAATCTCAATCAGGAATTAAGATCTTTATTCTGGAATAAAGCTCTGTGCAAAATTGAAAGCTGGTTTGCATTGCTTCCCTCAGAAACACATCTGCTGTTTTTTTCTCCCCTCTGTTGGCACATTTGTTTGCGTTGCATAAGGAACTGAGCATGTTATGAAGCTAAATCTTTCCTACCAAGCAGCAGCTCTGGCTCAGCTTTGGTGATTATTTAAAATCTCAGAAGAGAATCATCACCCGCTCCACTTATGCATTCAAACACACAAGGTGATATGCTAATTGGGCTTTCATTAGGGCCTGGCTGACGTCACAATGGAGTAGAAAGAAAGGGGGCTAAACTAAAGTGAAGTACTTTTCCACTGTTAAGCTGGCACTGATGCAGCTATGTGCTTTTTCTTTGTCTCTTTTTTTTTTTTTTTTTTGGAACAGTTCTAATTTTCTGTGTGACTGTGTCTGTGTACTGTAACATTCAAATATTGCCCCAGTGTATTACTCTGAGTTGAGCTTTTTATAAAAAAGGGAAAGGGAACTGAGGCTGTGAAATTCCTCTTTTTCTTTAGTGTTATTACTGTCTCAGATAGCTTTAATTAGGTTAGACAAGTAAAATTTCATGATACATCTCGTCAGTGCTGTTCACATATGAGTAGGTATCTGCATATTTAAGCAGTTTGTCTCCTGTAAGAAACACAGATACCGTGGGTGATGAACAGCGGTGTGTTGGTTAATGAGCAAGTAAGAGGCACAACTCCTTTTTTTCCAGGAGGGTTTCCACGGTGTGAGTTCAAGCAGAAATTGTAGCAGAATTGAAGCAGAATCTATTCATTTTTCAGAGCTGCCAGTAGGAATGTCTGCAAACTGAGAAGCTTTTGCATGAGCATAGCAAGCAGCTTTTGCAATATAGTACAAGAAGGATCTACATCACATAAAGGGACATAATGCTGCATCAGAAGTCCATTGAGCTGGGTTCAGTTCCTGAATTCACTTCCAAAGGTGAAATCACTTAATCTTCTTGTCTCATCTATCCTATCACCTACATAATAAGGAAAATATCTTCCTTTATAAAATGCTTTAATGTGACAAGTCTTCCTAGGATGAGGTCAGTCTGCATCTTCAGGAATTAAAAAATATCAAAATGCATTTTGGTTATGATAATGAGTAAATGGACCCTAAGAAGGAACAGATTTGCTTAATAGGAAACCATTTTTTTTACTCAGCAGAACTAAATGAATTAAATCAACCCTGGGATTAAGTAATACAATTGCTATTGCTAGTGGTTTGTTGTATATGGAGAAATATTTTTGTTTTGTAATTAACTCAAATGTAATGAAAAGGATAAAGACAGGAGCTCTGATGTTGAAAAGGACACAGCAATACTATCAGGATTTTTTCTTTTCAAATCAGAAATTGAGAGTGCAGAACTGTTTATTGCTTTAACTTCAGTAAAATTAGTAACAATAGGGACCTTGATAAACTGGAACACATTTCACTGACTAAAAACCTGTTGTAATTGCAATCACAGAAATATAATCTTGGGCTTTAGTCCATATGTCTGTCTTAATGAGAGCTATTAATGTCATTGGTTTGCATCCAGCTTGCAGGCAAAGATACTTAACTAAACATTCTTCTTTTTGCTTCTGTCATTAGCTGGGGTGCATAGCCCAAATGGCTGGGACTATCTTGTTCTTTAGTTCAATTAATAGACCTCTATTGTTTCTCTGGCATAAAAATCTGACAACACAGGATGAAAAATTACTCCAAAGCCTGCCAGTGGGACCAACAAATTAAATTCATCATGAACTTAAATGAAGCTGTGTTATAATGTCCTGCCTTTTGTTGGACAACAGAACTTTTCCTGTGTAATGTTTACATTGTTTTGAATCATGAGGACAAGGACAAATTCAAGGTATTGCTGAATTCTTTGTCATGGGCTGCTATTGTAGTTCATTAAGTCCTCATCCATCTTGTGGAAAAACTAAGTAAGGCCTCTGATGAGGAAAAGTACACAGTGGGCATGCAGTTTATAACTCCTTCCGTTCTTCCAGGTAGAGTGAAATCCCTTGGTAATGGCTGAAGAAATTGAGCTCAGGGACTTTCCTGTGGTTATGCGTGTCGCGTTAAAGGGGTGTAGCTGATTAACCGTCACGGGCCCTGTTTGAATTCAGAGTACTGAACCAGTCGGACATTCACCAAAACTGGGGGTCCGTTCGGACATTCACCAAAAACGTAATAACCGCCTGGGGGTCCACTCAGACATTCACCAAAAACGTATTAACCACCTGGGGGTCCGTTCAGACATTCACCAACAATGCATTAACCGTCTGGGGGTCTGGTTAGATTCAGAACGCTGAATTATCACGGATAATCACCCTCACCCAAGTCGCATTAATGAAAGCTATCACAATGCAATCAAGTATGGTTTATTACAGCAACAGATAATCAGGTTCTTTTGGATTGCCGGCGATAGTGACTGTCTGCAAAAGCAAGTTAGTATGTATGAAATACACAGGCGTTATAGGTGTTATAGATGTGACAGGTGTTATAGGTGTTGCAGATGTTATAGGTGTTACAGGTGTTACAGATGTTATGGATGGTATAGATGTTACAGGTGTTACAGGTGTTATAGGTGTTATAGGTGTTATGGGTGCACAGCCTAGAAATAAACGCGTTGAAAGGATCAAAGACTCTATATAGAGATTTATAAGCAAATATTCAGATCTCACCCAAAGGCGTCCCAATGGGGGGGGAAGAGAGGCTCAGCCCGTCGACTGATCCCAGGAGTCAGGAGGTCCTAAGGATGCTGTATGTCCTCGGGATGGTATCTCCCCTGACGGTGGTATCTTCCCTAACATCCCCTCTCTCTTGGGGCAATTTATATTATTTTCTATCTTTTAGGTGGAGCTTGAGTGGCTCTAGTCAAGCATATCTTAGTTATGATTGGTGTAAAGTTTTCCCGTCTCCGTTTAAAGTAATAGGCTCCGAGAAATTCAGAGCGCATGCTCAGTGAGGGGTGGTCGCACCTTGGAGGCGGGTAGCTTTTGGGATGGAGGTGTGTTTTGGTATTATAATGATATTATAATGAGCAAAAAGTACACTAGGGTACAGCATTTGTCAAAACATGACAGGTCTTTGGCTTAGGGTGGCAAAAAGTGCAGCTTTGTGCACAAGAACAATCGAGGCCCCACCTGATTACAGAGCCTAGCCGTGGTGTCTCCACTCCACTCTACGCTCCGTGGTGTTCCTTAGAGCTAGCACACCAAGTTTCCCCAGCGCGATAGCATCTAAGGTTGGGAGCCTAGGGAATGCTCAGATAATGCAGTTATGCCCTACCCTGAAAGCCTCTTCAATGCTGTACCTTTTCCTTAAAAGTGTGAATGTTAGTTTTATTTTCCTAGTTACTTCAGG